GAGAACCCTAGCCATTGCTCTGTGTCCAGAGCGATGGAGTTCTCTGTGAACGAAAACCGAAAGACGTACTGCAGGATGAAGAATATGGATATCGCCAGCGACACCACCAAAATGAAAGTACTCCATCCTCGTCCCACACACAAGATAACAGCGGAAGCTATCATGAGAACCACACTGGCGAGTGACGTTTCGAAGACCGAAAAGAGAAATATGCAGTAGATCACCACAGAGGGTAGAACTCTGGCTGTGTGAATCAAAAGAGCTTCTAGAACTCGGGTCCCGAAAGGTCGTGGATCCGTCAATGAATCGACATTAGATTCCTCATTCTGCTCGAGGTCTTCGAGTATGAGCAGCGACGATGCAAAGCGGACCATCCTCATACAGATCACCGCCGTGAAAGCCGTCAACGAAGTTTTCCATATTCCTGCATCGGAATTGTCAATGCCAAGTTCCAAGTACAGAGGATACCTCAGACTCTCGGTGAGGCTCTGGTATATGCTTGGATATAGAGCGACGCAGCGCCAGCCAACGATTATGATACAAAAATAAGCCAGGGCGTAGTTAACGACGATAATGCTGAAATATCGTTCAGAGTTCTTGAAAAGGAGTTGATAAATAGCGATCTGCACGACGAAGATGGCCAACATTATGATAGAGTAAACGTCAACCGGTTTGGTGAGAGCCACCCAAAGTGTCCAGAACAGGGCGATGTAGACAGCAATACGAGAGATAATGGTCCAATGCTCCCTCAGGAAGGCACCGATGGGCGTGCTGGATCTGTGTAAATCATGCGCTGGGGGTAGTCGGTCAGGAAGGATCGCCACTAGGAACACACATAGATGGGCTATGGCTGGTCTGAAGACTGTGGGGAAGGAGTCCAGGGAGAAAGAGGAATATTCCCAGATAGCATATTCAATAGACACGCTACAGCATATCACAGACGATAGTATCAGAGCCTTTGTAACTAGCTGCTTGATGATGCCCTCAGGCTCTACTATCAGTACTAGTGCGAAGAATAGGTAAATGAGGATAAGGACGTTGCTCTCATTGCTCACGAATAAGACTATCATCACAGTGAAGAGGATGCACACAACAGCAAAGTCCGCGTGTGTCAAAACACGGCGAATCGTGTTCCAGATGTATTGAGCAGTACGGCCTCGTAGCCACCCAGGGAAGATGGACTTGTCATCATCATCGCGAGACGTACTCTTCTTCTGAGTCGAACTGAAATGCCAATGCCATATAGCCGCCAGAATACAGGTGAAGAGACACTGTAAGGCAATAGCCAGGAATCTCCACCCAATCTGAGATGTATCCCCGAAGTTATAGAAGTGGAAGCCGATGCTCTTAAGATAGAATTTCTGGCTATTAATCGCGAGCCCCTCGCCGAACGTCCACGGTATGCTACATACTATGTTCAAGACCGTGAGAAATGTTGTGTAGCAAACAATGACACCGAAAGGGATCCTTGTCCCGATTACAGTGGGAAGGAGCAGTAGAGCACATCCAGCAATTTGTAAGACCGTTGCCAAAGTACTGGGTATGACTATGGCCCAACAGATGAGTATAAGTGGGGCTCCCACACTGAGAGCTATAGTGTCGAGGAAAGCGACCCATGCACGCAGCAACCAAGAGCGCTTCTTCCTCTCCACATCCTCGGCATAAGCAAGACCGTTCTCAGCGACCAACGATGGGTTCCCGTCCTCCAGACTTCCACTTGAGGCCCTTTGATGACAGCGATGAGTGAGAGAGAACGGTGACTGTTGTGCAGTAGTAGAAGCACTGGCCGTGAGTGCTATGCTCTCGTGTCTTGATGGGCTAGGGGTCCGCAAGGTAGGTAGCAAATACCATTGCTTGTTGAGAGGCTCATAGGGCTGGATGAACCAAGGCAGTAGGGTGGCCTGTAGGAGCATGACGGCCACGGAGAAGAGCATAACAGAAAAGTTCATTTGGAAGCCCGCAGGATTCTCCGACTTGTACTCTTTGACCATCGGAGACCCGATCATTTGGGGTAACCAAAGTGTGCTGTTCATGTTGGAGGCAACTCTGCCCGGTAGGCTCAGCACGTACCTGGTATATTGTGAAGTGAAAATAGTAATTCGAACAACGAGATCACATACATTGTAAGGCCTTGGCACCATGTGTAGAAGAGGATTATCAACTTGATTTTCCTTTTCGACGCGAAGCGCAGCGCGATGTGGTGACGGGACTGAAAACAGATGAGCGATGGTCCTTCGTACAATCAACGAAGATGGTTCACGGCCAGATCTATCTCTGATGGCCTTGATATGTCTACTGTAATCAATGTGGTTGCAGTGCAACCGTTGCATAGTTTTCATGTAATCGATCTGATTGAACCAAATTGAGCAAATAGAATGCGTTTTAATTTGGATTCCCCAAAACTAATCTTCAAGGGTAAATTAGTTCCCAAAAAATCTTCAAGGGAATTCGACGGCTGCAGTTCCACCTCTAGGTTACCTTAGGCATAGCCCAAGCATAAAGAGCGAGGAAGAATAGAGGTATGTAGGGTAAGGTCAGGAGACAGGGCGACAATACGATCTGCCAGGTGATTAGTAAGAATATGATGATAGTCTGTGCCTGGGAGGAAGGAACCATAATTCGATCGAATCCGTCCGAGTGAACACCGTCATGGTCATCTCAAGTAGCCATGGGTTCTGTTTGTCACTATGTTGTTACGATGGGAGCTTACCAGTGGTGGCACACTAGCAAGGGGTAGCGACAGCTTTTGCATCGCCAAGGGGTAAATGTCGAGACAATCTGGCAGGAGCAGAGCCAGGATGAGACCTCCAACAACATACCTAAAAAACTTCAATTCTGGAAGAGACCCGAATACTAAAACACCACAGAGTGAGGCAAGGAGTAATCCAAACACTCACCATCCAACTCTGGAGGATCCAAAGTAGACGCTGGCGTACGTTGTTGAGTAAAGGGCCCCTTGTAAAGCCAGAAGAACCTACTAACACGGTGATGACGGAGTGCTGTTGCAAGAGAATGCTTACGATGAGAGAAACGAGTGGTATGGGTCCGATCGATAGACGACGCCAAGCTCGGTAGGCCAACAAGCTGAGCGATATGAATAGGTACCTATCATAGGAGTCAAGTCGCAGTGTACCACACCTCATGCCACGTACCCTATGCCAGGTATAGTAGAACCCTGTGTACATGATACAGCGATCACCATGGCGAATATTATCAGCCCTAATGCTGGCGGGATGGGCGACCGTAACGGTAACATATGTTGACAGTCTCGAAACACAAACAATCCTATGCTGCTGGATACCAGAGCGAACGACTCAATTCGATTCCAGCCGTATGTGCTTGCTCCTCATGTCGCACAACAGAGAGTGACAGCACGGTGACCATCATCACGTATGATTCCCCATCAGGTCGGTTGGCCCGGAATTGGTTCATAACGACTGAAGCGCAATGCAGTAGTCTTGAAACGTGTGGAGAAAGGAACACAGTTTTGCTATGGAGTATTTTAATGTACGTAGTGAGCAGTAGCGTCACTCAAATGTAGGCATCCTCGAGCTTTCCAACTATACCATGGGCAGTTCTAACAACGAGGTTAGTTTCTTCTATCCCCACATCACCGGCCGCTTCCTGCAGGAAACTCTGACCTACAGCCGAACCACATCAGCCGCATCCATCAGGGCACCTCCAAGCTTACATTCATCCCGCCAAACCCTCAACAGGGACTGGGATTCCCGATCAGAAAGGTCAGCTTCGTCTATGGTAAAGAGATCCGATTCACCTGCATCCGAGGAATTCCCTCCAGT